GGGGGAGGGGGGCGGGCTTGGGGGAGAGAGGGTAGGTGGGCTTGGAGGTGGGGATGAGGGTGGGACAGAGAGGGAGGGTGGGCGGAGTAATGGGGTAATGTAATATAATGAATAGATAGATGGAATTGTTAACTTCTCACACTCCGTAGCAAGCATGCATGCATGTACGCTAGGTATATTCATCACAGTGGCGACTGATACTGTCATATATGAACATCTGGTTCATGCGAGGTCAGTCACGTGCTAATAGAGCCTGCTTCTCTATAATCGATACATGGTGTGATTTCCAACCACCATCCGCATAGACGTTCCAGATTCGCCAATCCACACAACCATTGGCAGTATTCTGCTTGAGGACACCCCCATTCTTAGCAGTTATCGTATCAGTATCACCTATATTGAGGTTAGTTTGCAATTGATTTTCCCCGTAATATCGCACTAGTAATTAACTTACAGCCGTTCAGAATCGTATTATATATATCCACACACTCCTGGTCCTTAGGAATATCCCAACTTTTTCTCCGAATTGCATCCACTTTGGTCATCGGAGAATTGCACATTCACCCAAACTTCGTATTGATTCCCACCTGCTATTGAGCATTTTGCTTCAGATGACCACAAGCCGGCGCTCGTGCCATCAACAGCTGTTGACCTGCAGAAGTCCAGGATCTTGGGATCGAACCAGAACCTACCGCCAGCATAACCCTGGTCATAGCTGGACGACGAGCTATAGGTTGGTCCCTTTGGTCCCTTTGCTCCGCATATGTGTGCAGCAGAGAAGTTGCTATAGGGGTAGACAGTTAGTGTTCTTTGTTATGCCAAGAGATGAAATCGAAACTTACCCGATACTGAGTGGAATGGATGGCGTGGCGTGGCCGGACTGGCATCAGCCTGGCCTCCGGGCCCGTAACATGTTAGATTGCCTAACGGACTTGAAGGGGATACTGTCGATGAAGGCGTGGGTGATGCTGTAGTCGTAGATGATGTACTGCTAGCAGTGGTTGTTGCTGCTGCTGCTGCTGATACTCCTGATTTCCAGGCAGAGTATATCGAGGCGATGGTTGTCAGGGGAATCCCAGCCCCAATGCAAACAAGCTCTGACTTGCTGCTACCATAGGATAAGGTTGAAACTGAGGTGCAGCCTATGACTGCGCCAGCATTGTTGGTTTCTGTCATTATTATAGAAACAGTAGAAATTGTTAAAGTTGTATTTATCGAAGACAGGCTACTTGATCTAGACGACGTGAGTCCTGTGCTTGTCGGTTGCCTTGATGCCGAATGAGTGTTACTTTGGCCGGTCTCCAAGGTAATGGATTAAGTAGTTGAGTTGCTGGAGCCAGAACCGGTAGAATTATTTGTGTAGCTGCCGCAAGAATTTATACCTCGATGCTGAATAGGGTTGGGGGCCATGGACACCGTCATGGGCTGAGGGGTAGCTCGTTGGACCCAGAAGTCTTCAAAGGCAATTAATTGACCCTGTATCCATAAGCGCCAACGACCCCGTTGATAGATAGTGTCATAAGGGTAATTCTCAAGGGCCAGCAAGGCCTAGAGAGGATCAACTTTTACAAAGAGTTCGCCTTCAACACCGGTTGGACCAAATACCCCCACATTTCAGATCCAACATCTGGCGGTGACCAAGCAGAATTATACACAATTTCAGATCACGATTTGTAACCTGTTGATATTATATTCAAGGCTTTCTACCCTTGGTACTTTCATTCTTAAATATAAGTCTTTCATATTCTATCTGATATATCTTTCTAAGAATGTTTGATTGCAAGTCCACGGCCTCTTTCAATTGCTTGATTGTTGCTTCGTAATATTAGTGCAGGAACAGTTATTCGTAATATTACAGTGACTCCTTGCCATTCCTTCTCAAAATTTCTCCCAGGAAGTTGACAATTATTTCTCGATCGCCCTCTGAACTTGGGACATCATGCCCACCCAAATGCTTCAAAACTTTCGCACCTTGGCAGACTCTCACCAAACCTTCACTGCTCTCCATACTCACAGCAGTATCTTTTTTCCCCATAACATGCATAGTCGGAATTTCAATGCCTGGAGCATAGATACTATCATACTGCCCAAATCTCGCCTTAAACCCAGAGAAAAAAATCCCCGCAGCTGGGGTTCCTTGTTCCTTCGGGAAATGAACTCTCATCGGATGTTCTCTGTTCTTCTCTCCAAGTAGTGCCACCAGCATCCCTGCAAAACACGCCCCCTGGCTAAATCCCCAAATTGCATGCACCGGCCCAGTCCTTTGGATCAGCTCTCCTATTGACTTCAAACTCTTCTCCAGTCCTTCAAAACCCCCAGGACTCTTCGTCACTGGATCTGGGTCGCGCGCAAACCACCATGCACGATGGCCAGCTCCTGATGAGTTGGCGGAGACATAGTCGACCCAGGCTTTGGCAGCGGCTTTTGAGGGATCCATGTGACTAGAGAGGGAGACCTTTTCAGGTCCATCTGGGAAGAGAAAATCAAAGTCGTTGGAGAGGGAAGAAGTCAAGTGGCGAACTTGATGCGCATGCACGCTACCGTTGGAGGTAAAGCCATGAAGGCATAGTATGCGCAGTTTGCTCATTTGAGAGCTATTCGTTCATGAGATGGGAAGTAGGCTCTGGATGTTAGAGATTCACGTCGTCAGAGCGCAAGGCACGATTGGGGTTCAGTGGGCGCTAAACGATCACTGCTGAGTCAGCTTGGTTGTGCTTAGGAGCGCAATGTCTCTCCCATCCTGACCTTTCCTGTTATAATTAGCACGCGGTAAGCGACGCCGCGCTCTTCATTATCATTGGCACTGAGGGCAGGGTATATTCGATTCAAGGTGAAGACTTGTTTTTATTAAGATCTACGATGGCTGCGACGAGATAACCTCACAGCACCGCACAACAAACGATACGTCTCCTAATTCTTATTAGCACCGCGCGGTAAGCGAGGCGGCTCCTTTCTGTCCTGATCTTCCTGATCTTCCTGATCTTCACTCTATTTTCCAACAGCGACCCGTCGTTGGATATCAAAACACCAAACTTTGCTACTAGAGTTCTGATGTATAACCCACGCTGAATTTTAAATTCCTCGAATCTCTTTCAAAAATTGAAACATCTATGGAGTCAGGACCCAAACTCCAACTCCAGAGCTTCACGTGTTTCCCCGCACTACCGATCGAACTGCAACTCAAAGTCTGGCAGTGTGCCATTTCATGGCCTCGAAATGTCACGATGTTGTTTCGAAAGAAGTATAATGAGATCAACCGAGTGACCATTTGCACTTTCGCTGGATGGATAAGCCCCGATGTGCCTCGGGTTCTTCACATCTGTCACAACTCGCGTTCAGAAGGGCTCAAGATCTACCAACCATCATTCGGACTGTACTCCGACCGACCGAGAATATATTTCGACTTCCCGAAGGACACTTTGTGCTTCGGTCCTGGAACATTAAACGACTATGATCCACCTTTAATGTCCGGCGACCATGGTCGGTCAAACTTCTACTTGCTCGACATCTTTCGCGGTGGTTGGCTTTACGGAGTTAATGATGCGGATAAGGTCAAATTCATGATCGTCGAGGTTGATGACACTGCCTATCAACGGCGTAATTTTATTTGGGACGAGATCCGTCTATTCTTTGCTTCGCAAGAGCTTACAATTATTCCCTCGGTGGATATTGTTTTATCTGATGAACTCATGCTTGGGTATGGGAAAGCGCTAGCATTGGTTGCTCGACAATAACCTGAATGGTCAATACCGAAGATCACTGTTGTCACAGTATGGGGGACCGTGTGGGGGGTTTTGGGTAAGTTTAGTCCGGAAAGAGCGGAAATGGAATGAATTCTAATTTCACAATTCTAAGAACGGTGGAAACGGAATATCATCACAAATAAGTTGGTCAGTTTGATGTTTCCTTTCTATCCATACTCTACTCGACATTTAGGAAAGGGCAAGAAAATCAAACGCTATGGGAATTATCTTCTTTCAAAGCCTTATTTTCAAATGTAACTTCTTCCCAGGCTCTGACCACGTCGGCGATCTCTTCATTAGAAGCGTCATTGAACTCCTTGGATCCCTGAGCCAACCTTGCAAGCGAAATGTGACCTTTGACAGACGATCCAAAGAGCTTTTCCAATTCTTTATTGACCCCCTCATATGTATAGCCACCAATACCCCAAGCAGCTGTTTGTGAGGTCAGGACACGGGTCGACTACAAATGGGCAACACCTACCAGCTATTGGCTTGAGAACGACTCCACCCAATCCTATTGCAAGGCCTTTACTGAAGCCAGCGAACCCTTGCTGTCGAGCGCCGTCCATTGGGTGCAGAAATAAGCCCGAAATGCCGTCGTATAGACTGTATCCAATTTCCTATTCCGTTAAAAACAACTCCATCAAGGACGGTAAAGCGCTTTACCTTTCCCATGGCCTCAAAGCCGCTCACAATCCCAGTTATTCTTTCTGGCGGCCGAACTGACCCATCACCGTACAACGCCGGTATATTGTGAAAGCCACGCGCTGCCATTAACGTCACTTCAAACGGGGAACGGAAGCCGGCAAGGAGAATCCGACCAACTCCTTTTGACGTACCCACAATGGTGCCTTGAGCCACATTAAGTGAACCTCGGGTGATGCTTCTATCTATAGGACGTGCCTTGTTCGCTCGGCCCACTGCGATAGGAATATCGGCCAAGCTTTTCGTCATATTGCTGACCATTCCCAGGCACGACGAGACTACCCCTGCGATGGGGTCCCAAGGCCCGCTTTCAAGGTCGTACTCTATATGTCGAACTCTAAATCTCTATCAGACATTGTTCGAGGACGGTAGATAGAACTACTCACAACTTCAAGTCTTGCACGCGCAAAATGCGGGCGTTGAGAAGAACAGTAGCTGCGAATGCACTCAAACATATCCCATTTTTCCTGACTTTCCATACAGCTACTCGCCGCGGAGCAATCCAGCATTTCAGGCACTGCGTCTCCGTCTGCTGATGCAGTCTCAAACAGCCAGCGTCTGTTCCATTCTCGGCTTCCATACACCTGCCTAATATGTCCGCTCGATCTAGCACAGCTGGTTGCACTACCTCAATGATAGCCATAGCAAGAGAGCTGACAGTGAGATCTTTTCCCGGGATTGACTTTGCGCCTACACCAGCTCTATGAACCGTCGCTCCCCAAAAGAATTGATCTCCAAAGAAAGGCACAATAACACTCGGCTTCCCAGCCGAAATCGCCGCTGCTGTAGTACCTGCTCCACCATGGTGGACGACGGCTGAGATACGGCGGAAGAGCCAGTCGTGGGGTATATCTCCAATAAGAAAGACGTTGCTTGGAAGCTGTCGTGAACCGAGGCCGCCCCAACCTTTGGATACCACTGCTCTCACGCCAGCTAGCTCTATTGCGTCGAATATCGTCTTGGTCAAAGCTTCTGGATTGTCAATGACAATTGAGCCAAAGCCTACATATATGGGAACTGTCCCAGCTTGAAGGAACTCGGCAAGAGCTCGGTCAGGGGCGTATTCTGTCGTTCGATTGAGGAAGTAGAACCCTGCAACAGAGATATGTGATGCCCAGTCTCGCGGCTTTGGGATTAACGAAGGAGACCTTATGGCACATATTTAGCTCGACTGAAAAGTTATTCCTATCTTGGATATTCTCACCAACAATATGTATACGGGATTCTCAGTCGGCTCAACATCCTAGGTCCAAAAGCCAACCTGATCGGTTCAAGTCCGAGGACCTTTTCTCGAAATCTGTTTTGAAGAGAACCAAGGCCCTGCCAAAGGAGCGTTTCGACCAGGGCGTAGGATACATAATTTACCAGGCCGAAATCTTCAGTCGAAGGTCTGATATTTGCTAGCGGGTGAGGGAAAGCTTGAGTTGCTGACCATGGCATCCTAGAAATTGAATCCCAGTTAGCGAGATTAAGACAGTCTAAGTAACTCAGATAGGACAAAGGTCAGATGAAAACAACTTAGACAGCAAAAAAGGGTCAGGTGAGTATAAAGGTTAGGACATTCTTAATGAAAGAGGGCTACCAGCAGAAAAGAAATCGAACTTACGTGAACATCAAATGCACGGGTACACCGAGCTTTTGCCCGCAATGCACATGTGCAAAGCTTGGCGGATTCGCAACGATCACATCCGCCACAAATGGTGTCCCCTTAACAATCCTCTTCTCCCCCATTAAATCACACATTCCATCCCCATCCTCAATACAAGCCCTCCAACATCCCTCCATCATGCTCGCCACCATCTTCCGCTGTCTCGCCACATCCCCTCCTCTCAGAGCATCCAAACTCGGCAACAACCCAGGACTACGAACCATGAACGCCATTAGTTCATGTGGATCGCCACCTATGCTGAAAAATTCTAGGCCGGTTTCCTCGACAAATGATTTGAAAATGGGGTGGGTGGCGATACGGACGCGGTGGTTGTAGGTGGATTTCAGGACTAGCCCGAGTGCTACGAAAGGTTGGACATCGCCACGAGAGCCAACTGCGTGCATGACGATGTTGAGACGAGAGGGTGGTTGTTGCGATGCTGAGGCTTGAGTTGTGAGGATAGAGCGATCTTCTGAGTGTCCTTCATACGTAGGTTTCGAGTCCTCTGTCACAACATCTTTGGTTTGTTCGTGGAGTTGTTTTTTGAGTGACGGAGAGAATATCGTTGATTGCCGGTCGAGATCGATGGCTATGCGTCCGTCTCCTAGAGCGGAAGAAGGCAATTAGCCTTTGAAGCCGGGTGACATTTGGCTAGTCCTGGGAAGAAAAAATGGAAGCCCATACCAGTGAAATGTGCTTGCACTCCTAAGCCTTCTTGCTCAATAGCCATGTTTGCAGTTATCTCTGTATACTTCGGCGGTGGACCTTTCCGAGTTCTGTCTATTCTGAATTTGTAAATTTCTCAACCAGATTGTATCTCTGGGTCAGCGGTCACTGTGGGAGGTCGAACTGACTTGGGCGTCGATTTGTCTTGTAGTTGTTGGAGCGCCAAATGACGAAGCATCAAGGTCTTGTCTCGGAACTGATTCCAGGACGAGATAAAACGACACCCGGGAGAGGGAGGGCGCAGTCGATTACCCCTGACTACAGTAAGTGGGCTGCAAGCGAGCCCAAAATACTCGACCCTGATTGGCTACGTCGTCAGTTTGCCGGCACTAGTGACGCCTCCGAAGTCAACGATCGTGGAGGAATTTGAAATGGCGTCGCAGCTGGTATATTATTCAAGCTTTTGAAGATCTGCTTCTGGTAAGTGATATCGGGGACGCGGAACATCTTGGGAGTGGGGACGCTGCTTCATGTTTGAGCCCGGCGACGTCGTAATCTTTCGGCGATCAAGCGACAGACGGCGAGCCCAATGAGAGGGGAGTATTCCTGGAGGTTTTGAATTCAAGCCTGTTCTAGAGGTGGAGCCCAAGCTGGCTGAGTATCCGAGTACGAAAGTTATGACAATGATTGTAACTTAAAAGAAGGCTTGTCCATCTCCTCCCAAGGCGTAACAAAAGCGTTATCTTGCAAATATTCAGACCCCACGTCTTCGTTCGACTCTCAACCATAATGCTTCACCTCCTCTTGCTCTTGGCAGCTCTCCACTTCTCTTTTGCTTATCCAACTCAAGCCATCATGCATTCTACCACTCGTGAAAAGCCTTCTTTCCCTGCCTCTTACGAGCTCTTCTCGCCCGCCTTCAAACAGCCTGATCCTCCGCTCGTGAAAGCTGAATTCAAATGTAACTGGCAGCAGCATGCTTGGTAAGTTCTTCAATACCCACAATTCCACTTATTGAACCGTTGTTTGCAGCTAACAACATCCCTCCAAGGTCGTCCTCTTTCTCGCAAATATCTTCCGGCTACCTCTACCACGCCGCCACGCAGTCCAAGCTCCGCACCGACTCGACCTACGACTCATCTATCGTATCTTCTCTATTCGATTACACGAATACTAATCGCGATAACTTCGTCTGGAATACCCTCTTCACAATCGAGCCTTCTGTCTCTTCTGCGCCGAAGATCTGGACGGGTTTTGTGAAGCCGGCTTGGACCCTGTTTGAAGAGGATATTCTGGTAAAGAGCAATGCTGTTTTTGCGGGCGTGGTGGATGATAGATGGCTAGGTGTAGCCGCAAGTGTGAGTCTTGAGCTCCGAATTTTGCTGGTCTTGAATGAGATTGATACTGATTATGTGGCAGTGGAAGATTGTGTGTGAGGGCTTCGGCCCGGCAACGGTGTATCTAGATTCGAGCGACACGGTTGTTGGATATGATTTCTATGAAGTAGCAACGAGGACTGGGATTGTAAATCGTTTCTTTAATATTGAGCTTGGGGAGATCGATAAGAGAGTGTTTGATTTTCCCAAGGAGTAGCGGAAGGAGGCAAATCTGGTAGACATTGTCTTGGGTCAATTGTTTCTGCACTCTCTGTGGCAGGAGCCCTCCATGTCAAGATAGTATTGTCAATTTTCCATCGCTTGAGTGGGTCGGAACTGCGGGATATTTCTCCTTGTGTTGCTATATTTCTTCTGCTGTATCTGAGCCAGATAGTTCGTAGGGCTTTATCGATGCTCAACGAGAGACAATGGATTCTGTTTTTTTCTGACACCCCAAAGTGAGGAACATCAGCGGGTATGTTGTGAGAGTCTGGCTCAATGGAGTCTTCTTCGACAGAAACGACAAATTCAGCGAGTCTGGTCAACATATCAGCGTCCCATATGCCTTCCCTGTCTGTATTCCGTAGGATGTCTAAAGCAAGCTGACGAAGAGGCTTGTACCGGCATTTCAATGCCGTATAGTAAAGTGGATAACAGACGGTTGAATAAACTTTGAAGTTGTCTTTCTTAGGCTTAAGGCTCGGCATGTTGCCCGCAACTTTCTTAGTCGTGTCTCTGGGTAGCTGTGACTGCGAGGAATGAGTTGTGCATTTTAGATACGTCTGAGCTTGCTCCACAATCTTCTTGAACGATGGCAGCTGCTCATCGTAACAGCATTCATCATCAGTATAGGAAACAGCTAACTGAATCCGCGCTGTATGGTATGCTAGCCAAAGCAAAGCGCAACCTGCCATAGCCTCAGGTATTTTTGCCGTCCTCTTCTGCAGGAATCCCTGAAATGTGCTCTTCCAGCGTGAAAGAATTCGAGTTAGATCTCGACGTTGCGTAGCAGCTTTCGGCAATTTATAATCTCGGTATTTACTACCATGAAAGATGGTGTAGATGTCAAACCCACGGTCTGGATGGGGACTCCACCCCGGGAAGCATTTATTGGCGCCTTCTGGAGGTGTGACGAAGCTCATTATCTTCGTGAGATGCGCATATAAACTGTCTCGAGCATCCAAAAAGGTCTCAAACATAACAGGGATGTCCTCATTTGTGGGAGACCAGACTGAAGTTCCGTTTTGGGGTGACCAGGGAGTTCGAGAACCCATATATAGCACAGATTGGACGTCCAGCCGTGAGAAGGTGTTGGTGAGCCCTTTAAGTGCATTGTTCATGTTAAATGCCGCCTGATTTTCCCTCGCGTGGGTAAAGGTGTTGCCAATAGGTTGTAAACAGTTGTAGATTTTGAGAGCGCCGTCGAGATGGGTCACAGCAGCTACATCATCTCCACGGAGGATCTCCATGACAATAAATATTAGGCATGCTATCATGATCTCCTCAAGCATTTCCGGAGTCTGGGACGACTCTGTGATGCGATGCTGCAGAATTTGAATTGCAGTGGCGTAGTAAAGCGGAGACTCGATTCTCTTGTCATTTCGGCTTGATGCGAGACGACCACGGGACTTCTGAGGTGCCACGTGCTCCTCATACACAGCACCAAGGGCAATGGCTGCATGCTGTACAGCCGGAGAAGAAGCGGCTCTCAGGATGGCCCTTTGCCAAAATTCGGAGTCCATATCTTCTGTAAGAGATGGGACGCACCCGTGAAGAAAACTATAGAAGAAGCGGTTGCCTCTCTCATTTGAAGAAAGCCCTAAGGTAGGAGTCAAGGCGACTCGACAATCGTTCCATGGACTGGTCTTGCTGTTATAAAATCGGGTATGTTCAAGAGACAATGGAGCCTCCTGGTGAGTTGGAGTCCTGACGCATTCGTATCCATCACATTTGCGTCCAGTTGAAGTGCATTGCAAGCAGGAGGGCCTTCGCTCATCACACTTCACGTGTCGAGCTCTGGAACACCTATCAGCTTCCGAACATAGCCCTCCTCTCCCATAGGAGGCATTAGGGCACTTACCGACATGTTGGACATCCAGTCTTGCCTCGTTGGCCACCCTTCCTTGTCCGCTTCGTCGGTTTGGGGTTGTTCTTCGCCATAGCCCGTCCAAGCGATCGAGTCGTCACGTCATATCAAAGAGTTCGTGATCCGAAAGAAGGAGACGACAGAGCCAGTCACCTACTTTGTATATCTACGGACTTTCCAGGCAGCATGTTCCTGTGCTGGTCGCATTAAGTCTAAAGAAGGTTTGAAGGCTAGGGCACTTGTGGCTTGATAAATCCGAAGCGTATTTGAGTTTGATGCTAGGTGGCTGATTCGCGTTGACGACGCAGCCAATCAGCGCATTCAAATCGACCCCTGTTTCCACAATCCCCACGAGGCTCACACGGCTGAGATATCTTCGACGCAACGCAACACCATATCATCTGCCATCATCAAAGTAAAGTTGCCTTGCTAAATTTACTAGACGCAGTAGTATATTTATTCCAGTCGTGGCCGCGTCAGCAATGGACTTTTCTCCAGTTTGGCATTTGCCAAATCCTTTACGGCACTGCGGCAGGCATCCTTGCTGGTAAGGGGGCGAGGACGAAATTGCTGCAACTCTGAGCATATATAAATGTATTGACCATTCAACTTCATCCTTTATTGCTTGAGTATTATCTCGTTCTCACCTACATCACCAGCTTCAATTTATAAAATGTCTCTCCCCGACGGAAATAGCACGTACATCATTTGTACACTAGCCACTTGCCCCATTGACGATGCCTTTGTCGATTATCTTCCCTCCTTGGCTGGCAATGCAACCTATCTTGCTATTTTTGCGATTCTGTGGCTCGCTCAGGTATATCTAGGAATCCGTTATCGCACCTGGGGGTTTCTGGCCACCATGGCAGTTGGTGGTCTTCTTGAAATAGCGGGATACCTTGGCCGGATTCTTTTACACTCAGATCCTTTCAACTTCAACTACTTCCTAATGTAAGGTTTTGCTGTTCGAGGCATCTCAAATATGAAATTGTTGCTCACGATCTCAAGCTATCTCATCTGCCTCACCATCGGCCCAACCCTGCTCTCCGCAGCCCTCTACCTCTGCCTCGCACGGGTTATCGTCGCATACGGCACCGAATTTTCTCGCTTTCAGCCTCGCACATATACCCTCACATTTATCAGCTGCGATTTTGCATCTTTGGTTTTGCAATGTGCCGGTGGGGGCATTACCGCCACGTCGGGTGATCAGGCTACCTCGGATGCTGGTGTCCACATCATGGTTGCGGGCTTAGCGCTCCAAGTTTCTAGCTTGGTCTTGTTTATGATTCTCTGCCTTGAGTATGCTTGGCAGGTGAGACACTCTCCTAAACAAGACCGTTTTATGGATTTGAGAAGTACCGGGTCATTTAGAGTTTTCAAATATGGTTAGTAGAGTCTTCCACTTTATTACTAGGGAGGTAAGGACTAACATATTCCTTAGCACTGGCGGTATCCACCGTAGCCATTTTCATTCGGTCTGTGTATCGTGTTGCTGAACTATCTGGTGGGTTCGGAGGAGCGCTCGCAAATAATCAGACCAGTTTTATGGTGCTGGAGGGGCCGATGGTGATAATTGCCGTCCTAGCGATGACGTTGTTCCATCCTGGGATATGTTTCAATGGGCACTGGGTGGCTGCAAGTTGGACATTAAGGGGCAAGCATTGATTACTGTGGGTGGTGTTTCGTTAAAACAGTTTGTAGAACAGTTTGCTTTTCCAAGTTTCATGGCCAGCACCCCTTATGTTTTTTTCGGGAAGCCTTAGTCTGTATTTTGTTCGGGTTGGTAGAGATTTATTGTAGCTGGTATGTTATTGCTTTTCTCCTTCGGTGAACCTGACTGTGATGAATCAGCCGTCACCCTTGTGAATATTGCTTCGATACTCGGACGCTTCAAAAAATATAGATGATGTGTAGTTAAGCTTACGAGAAGGTTAATTAGTCAAGGCCTTCGCGATTTTAATGCAGCTTCCAATAACCGACGCTATCAATCTACTTCATACATACTTAACGAATTCGTACCTAGGTAGTAACACTAGAACACATAGGGGCTCGGCAATAAGCGAGGACGATAAAACTTGAGCCCAATAGACAACCTCAAACGAGACTTGAACGGTCAAGGTGATATCCCTGGCGAATGGTGTAGGAAAACATTCGAAAATCAATGCGCCAAACTCAAACCTCTTCTCCTGCTCTTAGAGCTTCCCAGTGTGTTGATTTAATGTTGGAGAATTTCTTTTCCGAATCTTAACATATGGCACGACCACAGGCCCCATATCAAGTCCGCAAATCCCTCAGTCTAGATAGTCGACAAGATGCCCAGGGACCCTTACCATACGACGACTTTGGTAATAACCAGAATTGTCCCGAACAACCATCTTTATGCTGTCTAGAAAGTAGCCTCTATCTCTTAGACACTGACCAGCAAGGACACAGCACTTTTCAGTGCTTTTAAACAAGAGCTTTTAACGTCTATGGATCTATGAGCATATGTGAAAGCGCTGACATCAATAATGGCATGTGCAGCTCATGGGGCCGGGGAGGAACAAGGAAAGCTTAGATTAAATTTGACAGTTGCGATGCATGCAGAAGGAGGTGTAATTTATTGCACGGGTTCTTGTTCTATAGATGACGTTGTTCAGAAGTAAGTTTGTATTTTAGATTGACTTCTAACTTACTGTTCTGTACTCTTAAGCACGACAAATACAAAAACTTTGCAAAATTGTATTGGTTCTCGCGTTGAAACATTAAATCACAATAGGACTTTAGTACTGGGTATATTCTGGGACTGGCCTGACTCTTTAACATCTTGACTTGATTTTTCAATACGCTTCAAGACCTTCTTATCCTCCAAGGCCCACAGCTCAAGGACTTTTTTCATTGATTCACACTTATTAAAATCATAAATCCCATTTCGATACAACGTACCTGTCTGATTCCGCATTCTCTCCTCCACCTTAACAAACTGTATAATGAATTTGCGTGCCAGTGGTGCCAAATTCTCAGCTGAGATATCTGCAAGTAACTTTGCACTTTCATCCTCGAGCTTTATAAGGTCCGAGAGGTTTCTTGTATTCCGTAAGGAGCGCTCCTAAAGATTTGTACAGCTTAGTGAAGCAGCATCTAACCATCCAGATTCTTTGTCGATATGGCTCTTTAACGAATGTTCACTAGACTTGGAGCGTGTCTTCCGTTTCGATTGGGCCTTGGATTTATCACCAGAAGTCCTCGCATCTTGGGGTGAGTCGACCTGGCTGTTGGGAATAGTGGTTTCCTTGCCAACCTTGAGACGTTTATGTGGCATGCCTTGGTCATTGACGGTTTTAAGCGAGCGCTTAGAGGAGTTTAACGGCTTCTTAGTAGATGTGACCTTAATAATATTATCGTTAGAGCTGTGTGAACTGGTACTTATATCTTCATCTTCAAGTATATATGGTTTAGGTTAATGTGCTATGCGCCAGCGCGTGGATTCATCCTTAGAAGCTTCAATAGTGGAGGTTTCTATGGAATCGGGCCGGGCAGGGGCTAGAGGGTTGGTGTTTCCTGTTATATGTATGTGCCGTATCTGTTCGCCAACGTACTCGCCACGCAACAATTTTGAACATCTCTGGCGAAGAACTTCTTTTGGGGTCCCCCGAACGCCACTTCCCAGATTAATCGTCAGAATCGTCGAGAGTCAAATCGATGATACCCACTTGAACACATTTAAGTCAGCTTAATCATTTAAATGCAGCGAGCACAATTCAACTTCACGTCTGGAGCCTTGAAGGACTATATTGTTATTGTTGTTGCTATGCTTGGGAACAGAGGGAGTTCAAGCCCTTCCAATAATGCTGATTTTCCTGCGAACTACTCTCTTCGGTACCAGGTAGGCTGCTTCTGAAACATTGTCATCTGCTTATCAGCATTCAAGGAAGATTGCTGAATACAAATTGTGACGACCAGGATTGCATAATTCCCAAAAAATCCTTCTCACTTAACACCTCGGCGTTAAAAGCCTCGAAGCAGTAATACGCTTTTCGATGGGCGGTCAATAGGCCTACTACTGGGCTGTGATGCACGGCGCTGGTCCCTTTCACTTCCTCAAACACTCCGTGGTCATCTGCGGCAGTGCGAAAAACTCCGGCCTCAACCACGCCTTCCTCGAAGGCCCAACCTCTGCCCTGATCACTAGCCACGACTACGACCTAGGCCGGTACAAAAGTAACTGCGTCAAGCCCGTCGAAGGGCTCAGAGCGTTTGGTAGAGCGTGCGCAGCGTGGGTGCCAAGTGCCGATGAGTTTAAACAAGAGCTTTGGAGAGAGTCTGGTGCGGAGAGTCTACATCAGTGGTTGCATCCGCCGATGGGGAAGGATTCGAACGAGGAGTGGGATCCTGAAGACTTACTGGTAATGGCAAGGAGGCGCTAAAAGATCAGCGCTGCTTCGGCAATTATTCGCTGAATTTGTGGGGACGTTATACCACCACTCAGCACCACTTGTTATGCTAATTGCCTTTTCCTTTTATTCTCTAAGCGTTTCATTTTCCTCTCGGCTTTTCTATTACTCTTGCTATCGTAGCTGCGTTAGCCGCAGTTTTATCTGCTCTTCGCTTTAGTGGTACCTCGACCTCGTTGTGCCCCCGTTTTGCTTTTCCCTGTTATCGTGGCTGCCCCTGTAGAGGCCTGTTTAAGCCAATTGTTTCTTTTCTTTCGTGTTGTTTCGCATCAAATCAAACAAAGTAGGGAGGTTTTTCAGCGGTGTACGGACATCAGATGCTGCACAAGCTCACCTGGCCAAATGCAGGACTGAATAACTCAAATCGGGGTACTGGAAGACAAGGATTTAATTGTATCGTGTCTTTTAAAGTACATGCACGAAGGAAACAAATTTCTCGCCATACTCCATACTCCATCATCCCAACCCATTTTCTTTCTACGTATCGTCATACAGATCTGGGTTGAACTTCAAATGCTTGCAATCTCAAAATATAAAACTAACCTGTAGCGCAAGCGCATTGATTTTTTACGCAAACCCGGCAGTTCCCATCATCATCGCAGCCGGCCTGGCCTTCTGGTGAACAGTACGTAGCAGGACAATCAGACCACAAAGTACACGTTGGAATAGGTGTCGGTACAGGTTGCGTTGCTGTGCTAGTCACAAGCGTTGTGATGCTGCCCGCGCATAGGGTGATGGCGTAGTCGGCGATGTATGAAGTTGTTGAGGTCTCGCAGGCCTCGACCTGGCCGCCGAGAAGCGTCGTTGTGAAGGGGAATGGGATGGTGTTTTTGGGTGGTGTTGTTGTGCTTGGAAGGGCCGGAGCAACGGTCCATGGGCATGGCTGGTATGCAGAGCCGGCATTTGTTCCCGTTGAGGAGGCTACTGGCGTACGTGCCCCATTGCTGCAGGTACAGTTGTCTGCGACACTATGCACTGGGTCCGCACAGTTGTAACATGGTAACTCGCTATAAGTTGATGTGGATGCCGAAGAAGTCGTGGTGCCTGATGAAGATTTGGAGCCTGATAATGATACGGTAGTCGAAGAGGCAGTTGCTGACTTTGATCCGGATGATGTTGTGCTTATGAGGAGGGTCAAGGATGACACGGTTTTCGAGCCACTAGAACCGCTGCTTGAAGTGACGTTGGCCGTGGAACTAACTTCGTTGCTGCTCCAGGTGACACGCGGATCTGTAGTATCGGCTAGGATGGCGGAGATTAACAACTGCTGTTGGGTATACCAGGCCGTAGGGGCAAAGTCGTCGCCAGCAAATGAGACTGTAAATACCCCCGAATTTGTAGCCGTTGTCGTTGTTTTATACCCGGTTATTGAAGCAGAGCAAGCGGTTGTGGTTGAGCATGAGCCTATAATGGTTGATGTAGAGGCTGTTGAAGCGCCGGTTGGCGTAACGATCAAGTAGGATGTATCACAGGCACTTGTAACCCGCGCTGAACAGGAGCTACTGGATGACAATGATACGGATGCTGAAGACGACTTGTTCTCATCGTCATCCCCATCATCTTCCAGTTCCTGCCCAATTTGTGCTAGGGTATCAGTCAAGTCCTCAGTTACACCAAGATTAGGCGTAATTTTATTAACTTTATCAGCCAGGTTGTCTGTAACGTCTTTCGCACAATTGAGGAGTATTCCAATATCATGGATAGCATCTTCAACGACACTCCCTATGGACGGTATCATACTCCTATCACGAAGTATAGATCTGACTTGTCTTTCGGACAGACGCATAGCTCCAGTTCTCTTTCGCTTTGTATTAGAACAATCTGGGGTGTCTGGTGGCTTTACACTTAGATCATTAATTAACGCAGTAGTCTCCTCTTGGGTCTCTTTGATATTATCAAGAAATTTAGATTTTAGTTTAGGGTCTATGAGCCATTATCGATTAGCTGGAGTGCAAGGAACAAGCCACCTATTAGCACAGCTTTGGATGTCTTAGCCGCGGCGCTTGCAAAGGTGCTTGTTGGAACGTTAAAGAACGTAAAAGATACTGGTGTTATTGAGATTGATGGGTCGGTTGTAAATGAGCCGATGAAGCTTAATAATCCTGTTTGTGCCGTTGTGGAGGAGCCACTCGAATGTGAGGCAGATGAAGTGCTGGTTCCGGGTATCGAAATTGAAAATGATGCCGATGATGTTCTATTGCCTATAGAACTTGCACTGCTCACCGTATTTACAGAAGAGCTTGACCTTGATACGCTCCCCGTAGCAGAACTACTGGAGCTTTTTGAAACTATTTGGCTTGAGTTGGAAGTTTGAGATCCAGTTGTAGCCCCTGCAGTCCCAGGAGCTAGAGAAGATTAGACCTCGCCACAAAACCCAAAAACCCATGGGTACCCGCCCCATGGGTCCCTATGGGCGGGTCGTTAGGAATTTCTTGACCCATGGGTCGGGTCTTGGGTCTTTCATTTTCCTATGGGTACCTATAGGGAACCGTGGGTAATATCACATGATTAATAATAGTAATAATAAGTATAAATATTATTATAAGCTTATTTACTTATTTATATAAGAAGCTAGTTTATATAAGAAGCTAGTATATAATAAGCTAGGTCACATAACTAGCTAGTCTCTATAGTGTCCATGTCCAGCTTCTAGTCCAGCTTCCAGTCTGGCTTCCAGTCCGGCTTCCAGTCCAGCTTCTTTTATGGCTAGCTTATCAGTTATTAATTGCCGGCAGCTAGCTAGTACTTTTATCGGAAACCAAATGTAAATCTTAATCTTATTAAGATTATAATTAGAGAAGCGAGCTAAGGAGTCAATTGCCGGCAGCTACCTAGTACTTTTATAGAAGCTGGCCATAGAAGAAGCTGGCCATGAAAGAAGCTAGACTGGAAGCCGGACTGGAAGCCAGACTGGAAGCTGGACTAGAAGCTGGACATGGACACTATAGAGACTAGCTAGTTATGTGACCTAGCTTATTATATACTAGCTTCTTATATAAACTAGCTTCTTATATAAATAAGTAAATAAGCTTATACTAACATTTATACTAATATCTATATTAATTAATACTATTATTAATCATGTGATATTACCCATGGGTCCCCACGGATACCTATGGTTCGGGTCCTATATTAGTAAGGACCCATGGGGTGGGTCGGGTCCCCCATAGCTTGGGTCTGGGTCCTAAATCAGGACCCATGGGGGCCCATGGCGAGGTCTAGAGAATATGCCGAGCGAGGCAAGGACGAGCTTGATGATAATCCACTCTTGGTGCTCGAAGATGAGCTGCTCTTTGAACCCAAAGATGATTGACTCCTGGTACTTGATAGCGAGATACTACTGGAATAATTTTGGCTACGAGCCGAGGTCAAAATACTCAAGGTAGAAGGGGCGCTAAAACTGGATATGTTGGAGGTAGTGTTGGCATCGCGGGCCTTCAGAGGCTGGGGGTGTCCAGCTGCATCTCGCTTCGGTTTCGTTGCAGGCGTAAGTATTTGAATACTGCCATCTTTCATTGGTCTCTGGGCTGTCGCGCCCTGAATTGTGGGAGATATCATCCTTGCTCCAAGACCAAAGTAGGCATAATTGTTGGCATTGTGAACATTTCCTTGGCTGCTTAAAGATTCAGAAATCGTCCAGCCTATATTAAACAACGAGTTAGCTCTATTTCTTCGGGTCATTTCTAGGATACTTAGGAACAAGTACGATCTTATAAATATCTTCCCAGCTTGACGTTAAGGGAGACATCTAAAAGACCTCGAAACATGGATGAGCAGGGAAGGACATTTCAGTCGTCTTACCGTATCCACCAGTCAAGGGGTCATCTATAGTTGGCGGTGGAGTGCTAATTGCATGTGTTAACTCGTGGAGCAGTGCCACGTCAAATAAATCGATCGTATCCATTGCAGTTTTCCTGGCGCCACAGGGTTTGCCTTATCCACAAACTGTTGTTTCTAGGGGTAATGACTTGAATTGACTGCTGTTCTACAGTGGGAAGTATGCTGTATATATAGGGCTCTTCAAGCCCTATTTCTAAGCTTTGCCACCTGCTTAGAAATAGCTATTTCTAAGCTTCGCCACAGGCTTTATAAGCTTTGCCACTTGCCACTTACAGGCTACAACAAAACAATGACGTTGATAGGGCCAGCGCACCCCTGGTTCCCACGTCTCCAACGGTTTGATATTGGGCAGAAGCCATATGTGTCAAGAACCAAGGACACATTTGAATACTAGCGGCCTTGTCTTGCCCGTACTAAGCCAGAAGCTGGACGGTCCAAGCCTGTATTGAAGTTAATATTTGAGATGGTATTGTCATTAGTGATTTAACCACTTACTTGGTAGAACTCGTCGTCGGTTGGATAAAGGCAATATGCATATACATGATCTATTGTCCCTTCATATCTGCGAGTTTGTTCTGTTAGGTCTACTTGAATAATAAAGGTATTGGAGCTTGAGAGGAGCGGGGAGTAGAGTTTGGTAGTATTTAGCGTCCCAGAACTCCTGAGATAGCAGAAACTTCGCGAATCTGTCCCTAAAAACGAATAAAGATGCCCAGAGAATATACATGCTGCATGAGAGTATCACAAGTATTGCCATCAGACACGGAGCCATCGCAGGCTTTGTTATCAGCGAAGCGACTATAATCGCAAAAGAAGATGAGGTCTTCAGAGGTAAATGTTAGATAAACTGCCTTGTCTGTAACCGCATTCAAGGTTTATTCGGGCTTTCCACTATTAACATTCAAGTTTACGAGTGATGAGAACCTGTCTGTGACAATTCTCTTATTCGCTGGATTCTGTGATATTGAAGCGAACATATATGTTATGAGATCATTCTGGGCCTGTAAGATATTCATGTCTGTGCTAGGTGAACTAAAAAGATCAGATCCCGCCTGGGCTAAATTGAGGGAACTTTTCATTCCTTTCTCAATTAAAGGTGAGTATGGAGTACAACTGCTGTCCAAGATATAGGC